TGCTTTAACCCAAATCGTTTTGCACAGCAGACAACTGGAGTTTAAGGTATCATTTAACTTGTGCTAGAGCTGTGTGCATGCAAATGCACATACATATCACTCTGTTAATTTGGAGATAAAATTCAAATTATACCTGGAGCTAATAATGCTGTAAAGCACATCTTAATTCTTCTATGAAACCTTTGGTTTAAAATATACAGCTAAGTGTTACTGTCTCTTCATAGCACATCCTCTTCTAAGTCACATTCTGAATCACTCATCGCCATATATTACTATTCATAGGTATTTCTTGAATACATTAATCATGTCACATACAGAAGAGTTTGCTGAGAATTCGAGTAAATTAGTCCCTAACCTCTATTAACTGTTAATAAGTATTTTAAAAGATCTGTAAAGGCAGCCTGCATACTGGTCTTCCTATTCCACACTGGCCATTTACATCGATCACTGATAATACAACAGGACCAATCTGCTCTTCAGTATTGTTTGGAGATAGAATATAAATGACAAAATTATAATGTCTGCCACCATTTTGGTTCAAAGTAGTAAGCCACAGAAGTTGCACTTTCGAGAGAATGCCAAAAACAATTTGTAATTTTGTCATTTTTAACAATTTTCAAAGTACCTTAATATTTCCCTCCATTATATTGGAATTTTATGCCATGACTTGAAGTTGTATTAACCTGCACAGGTGATAACAGTGGTCTTATTTTGCCCAAAGAACTTTATCATTTTATTCTCAAATTGAAGAAAATACACTGGCATAAGAACATTATTTCCTTCCTGTTAGAATACACTGAGACAGGTTATGTAGAACTATTCACATTTAGAAATAGTAATAGAAGATAATTCTCTTCCTTCTTAAAAGACTAACAATTTTTTACAGCCTTGTACACCAAACAGTGTTAGAAACAGTGTAGAAAAATATACCTACTTAAATCCCACAGCACTGGCAATATATTCACTGACACATAAAAACTGAGCACTGAAAGAACTGACAGCTTCACACCTCAGGAAAACTGATTGACAAAAAGAGATGACAAACCTAAGGAAAACTGATTGACAAAAAGAGATGACATTTTTTACTTTTGACTTAGATACTTTTTCTCCATCTTCATGCAATGTTTTGAAACACTGATATATTTCCTTCATGTCCACCTGGTCAACCTGAACATGTTAGACCTATTTTTTGTGGTTAATGCAGCCTTTGCATTTATATTCTGAAAGTATCTAAATGTACCATTCTTTCTTCCCATAAAGGTATCCCATAGCCCTTGACAATGTTTTGAGAATTCATCTCATCTGGCATTTCAAAGACAGAGGTATGTTGACTTAGATTCCCTTGGATTTCTCCAATTCACTTATCTATCTTCCAGACAGGGTTATAGTTTACAGGATTATTCTTAGCTTAAGTATTTATAAAGTGTCCATCTGTTTAGTTGAAAATATGGCCATCAGAGACCCAGCACTGCTATTTTTACCACAGACGTTTTAAGATCTCTTATAGAATACCCAATGCAAGTTTACAAGATACTGCAGCTGAAGAGACAGAGGTTCTATCTGAACAGAAGAGCTTTGATTCAGGTCTTGTTCCACACATTAGTGTACACCTAGTCCAACACGCTAATTACAGCACTTAGGTTCACCTGTCATCTGCTTAAAATTTTTTCCAATCTTTTACTCTGCCTCTACTGAATACAATCATCTTAAGAATATAGGACCTAACCTCTGGGAAAACCGCTACCAGTAACAACCCTAAGGAAAACCCTGAAAAGTTCTCCCCTCTTTTCCACTGATGGTCTGTATAGGTGTACAATAATACTTCAGTCTTTGTTGTTTAATGCCAGCAACAGGCACTTCATACCAAAGATAATAGCAACAGCATAGCCTACATATCATAACGTACCACGATTTCAGAATAGGTAGACTCAAGGGCTAAGTTAAAAATAATGCAATATTAACTGTACAACTTTTGATATAGGGCCAGAAAGCTCTTTGAAATGTGTAAAAGAAACTTTGAGATATACATGTCTAACAGCAAATTACTTGTCTGTAAAAGTATCCTGATTTTATGAATTTCTGGTTCTGCAAGACAGCATTTTCTATGTACTGTTCTAGATCAAGAATAATGTTACTGAAAATATTTAAGTGAAGCACATATGTCAAATCAAAGTTGCTGAAATTTTCTTGTGACAAAGCAACTGTAACAGATAGCTTTTAATATCTAGGGAAATCAAACCATGACTCAGTTTATTTTTCTGCCTAGAGGGGTTTAAGGATATTAAGCAATTCCTCCACACACACTGATGTTTGGATTCTTCTACATATTAATTTTAATTAGTTGTTCACATTTTGATTTTTATTTGTTCTTGCAGTGATCCATTTGCCTATAATCTCTTGTTCTTTTTTCTTTCTTCCCATAAAATGGGATTTCAATCACTACATTTTACTCTAACTGAATCATAGATTTATAGAATGGTTTGGGTTGGAAGGGACCTTAAAGATCATCTGGTTCTACCCCCCCTGCCATGGCAGGGACACCTTCCACTAGCCCAGGTTGCTCAAAGCCCCATCCAACTAAACAGGTAATCCTAACCCAGCCTACAATATCCCACACCATTTATGTAAAATTAGTGTGAGGAAATTGAGATAAAGTCCAGACTACAGCATAGAACAGAAAGTCTGGAGTGTAGTAACAATCTGAAGCAACCTTAAACTGCAAGTTTCAAAATTTCAGTTAAAACACCTTGTAAAAACGTTACAGGTCTTATGAAAAAAAAACCTACATCATACATAAAACTCAGTAAAAGACCCCTTTGAAAGGAACAGGTGCCTTCATTATACATGATCAACAAGCTTAAACGCCGACATAACTAATTTTTCAGAAATCACTCTGGTACCTCCATTTATGCAGACTGCTTCCAGCCTTTCACACATGGATTTTAGTGGCTGTATTGCAGACTTAACATCTGGTGTTCTGCATGCCTATTCCTTAAAGATGTTATTTTCTTATGCCAAGCAAGTTATCTGCAACTAGCTGAAGATACCCCACATTTGGACAAAATGTGAAAGAAACAGGAATTCAACAGTATCAGTTCCAGAAAAGCAAATCACACATTTACAAATTCAGGGAAGGAAAATGGCAATGAGGCAAATACAGGAATAAAAGAACACAAATTTTGGCTTTTGAGGATATAGGTCATGCTACAGAGATCTCCAGATACAAATACAATTTCTGCTATGGAACAGGCTGAGCAATTTATTCCCTGACTTTTTTTTTTTTCTTTTTAGTCTAGTAGATGATTTTGTGCTGACTACTTTGACTCTGGTGAAAGATAGAGACAAATAGCCAAGAAATTACCACAGAAAGTGGCATGCTGGTATCATATAACATAGGGCAGAATCCAGAACCTTGTGTAGTGAGGAATAACACCTCCACCAAAAGCCTGTCTGTTACCAAGGCTGAAGTCCAAAAAAATCCCCAAAAACACACCAACAAAGAGGCCAACAAAACCAACCAACCACATAATCGTTTGCCAAAAAAAGCAGATTAGTTTGTGTGGTTTTCTAATAAAATTTTTAAGTTTCCCCCCCCATTAAAGCATTATAAAAAAAAAAAAAAGAAAAAAGAAAAAAAAAAAGACTGCCCTTCTTCATTTTGTTCAAACCTAAGAAAATCTTACATGTTCCCTATCAATAAAACACCTCGAGAACTGTCCCTGCTCACAATCCTACCACAAGGAAGACCAACAGAAATTAGCTGCATGAACTAGCATAAACTTTACATTTACATTTTGCTTTCTGTATAGAAGAAAACATGCCTAGACAATTTCCTTCTGTAATAATGTGTTATTTAAGAGATAATGTCAATGAAATAGTGCATTGTTAGAGGATAATGGTCTCCTGCTGCTCTTAAATGCCAAGGCACAGCTAAGGCATTTTTTTGCAAAGCAAGGGACATTAATCCTATGATAGTATTCTACTATAAATGACATTCCTATTATACTGAATAGGGTATGTTGATTCAATCATTTGATCTGATACTTGCTATTACGACAGAGCAACTGTTGCTCAAACACGCTGCTGCTCTGAACCTGCAGCATTTGAACTGACCCCCTACAGAACCCTGCAGCATTTGCACCCTTTAATCCAAGCATATAAACCTCAGCCAAGGCTCAAATAACATTAGATACATATTTTTATGGCCATTTTGTAGATAAAGAAACTAAGACTTGCCCCACCTTACTGTACAGCTTTGCAGAATGACCAGAAGAAAGGTGAAATATTTATGACCAGAGAGGGAGAAATATTTACCTTAAAGGAGAGGTGCACCTTTCTGCTTGGGTTTGGACCCGTTCACTAGCATATAAAAACCCAGCAGCATGAAGGGTTACTCTCCTTTCAACCTTCAGAATGAGGTATGCTGTATACCAATAAAGAAGGCATGGAAGGCATGTGGGCATCATACTTCAAAGATTTCAAGTATCTAGAGAAAGTAGACTGCTTTCTTCCTTTGACTCGTTGCTCACGCACCACTCCTGCACAGTGGTGGATTTAAAAGCAGTAATAACTTAACTCTGACATTCATTGAAAGTCTCAGAAGCATGACTCAACTTTAAAACTACCTTAAAAACGTTTGTTTTCTGAATTTCTGCACTGAGATGAAGAGCAATTCCTTGAAAAGGGTGTGCAAACCTTCACCTGAGGGAAAAGCAAGTTTGAGCAAGGTTTAACACATCTGTGGACTGGTTTTATCTTCACACATTTTCCATTTTCTTTAGGTGGATGGAGATTTTGGAATGGTCTGTAGGGCTGTCTAGTGTAAAGGAAGCGAGAACTATGATGGCAGGGCTTGCTGGCAAGTGCCCTGGTGCCTGTCCATAGCTCTTACTAAGGCCATACAACACCCGTGGATAGAGCTACTGCAGCCAAAATGCTGGCTCAGCAACAGCCATCCCAAATGTATAAAGAAGCAAGGAAGTTGCCCTAAGTGTTGGATAATGCTATTGAAGAAAGAAGTGCCTACACAACATTTGAAGGCAGTGCAAAGACTCTTCACATTAAAATGGAAACTCATCAGGGAGTCCAGAGCCAGATGGGCTAAGAACCTCAGCGACAACAGTGGTAACGTGACTGTTGCACAAATGACTGCTAGTGAAGGTCTGCTGTGTGCTATTGGCTGGTTCATAGCCCACAGGTGAGGGGACCACAGCATCTCTCCTGAAACAAGATAGCTTGCATACCAGCCATGCAGCTGTGGCTGAGGCTTTTCAGAGTTTACAGTATCAGGAGATGCAAGCTACAGAACCTGAAACTTTCAGTGTGTCAGCTTGTAGCCTGGTATTTCAGTGTTGAATAAGTATCTCCGGATTTATGAATGCACTGCACACTGGCTGGTTTCCTTCCTTCACAGGTGGTTTCCTAACACAACTTGACAGAGTGGATAAGCACCTCAGTGCAACACAAACTCAACCATGATTAGCTTACGGGAAAACATAACTGAAAAGCAATTTACTAATTAAGGCAAGGATTCCCCAGTGGTCTAGCTGAACACAGTAAAAAACTAAACTTGCCTGTAACTCAGACAGCAGGCACTTGAAAACAACAAAGGCAGAACAAAAGATCCATTTCACACATTAAGTACTAAAAATATCTTGAAATTTGGGAGCTTGAAACACATGCATATCCACAGCAAAACACACATACAATCACTGGAAGAAGAAACAAGACTGTTCTAATTATAATCATGTTAATTTCAGCAACTAATGGAGGAGCTCTACAGTAAAAACTTTCTGAAAAGTGTTGGTTTTTATAAGCTTGTTTCCAATATTTTGCTTAGTGTAATTGTCATCCAACTACCTCTAATTATCTGTCATAGATTTCACGTTTAAAACTAGACGTTACTATATAGCTTACATGGTTCCTTTTAGAATATTCAAACTTTATTGTATCTCATGGGAACTCTATTTATTGCATTATTCCTTCTTTCAATTCGTATCTGAATTATAAGTAACTTCTCAGAGAGTTTTCACAACAGAAACACTGGGTCTGTCACAAGTAAAACCATCCACATAAGTCAGCAATTCAGAGGTAACTTATGTTGCCAGTGCCCACACAGTTCAGACCAGGAAACCATATGCATGTAAAGCAACTTGACATAAAAGCTTAAAATGGTCCTCTCAGGGAACTCCAAAGCATATAGCTTTGACCCTTTTTATTTTTCTTTCATTTCTCATCTGGAAGGTCAGGCTAGGCCCAGGGCATTTTTACCCTCCTCTCTCTTCATGCAGTGTCCCTTCCTTGTTTGATGGTCTAGTGCTCATCCAGCATATTTGCACACTAAACCTCAGTTAAGTTCCTCTGCCTTCTACAAAATTCTTTTGTAATCAGGAACAAGCTACTAAAGACATTCTGTAAATTAAGCTATATTTTCCTGCTGGGGGAAGTGTCTAAATATATTATTAGAAGACCTAGACATGCCAAAATCTACTACAATTTGACCAGAGATCCATAGATTCTTAAACTTATCTCAGCAGACACTAAGAAACCATTATGCTGTGGAGGTAGACTCAAATTGCATGTGTTGCATGTTTGTGCTTATGTATGTCTGAATAAAGGATTGTTATTTGCTTCCTTATACTCCCTGTGGCATAAGGTAATGTGGTAGCTAAAGTAAACAGCACCAGGCAGACTTAAAAATTGATCCTACAGTTCATTCTCAGTTTTTCCTAAAGGGCGCCTTTCATTAGTAACACCCAAAGAGTGAAAGCATCATTTACCTTATGTAACGTAGAGTTAATTATCCCACATTAGAGCCCCAGTGACCAATCTATAAAACAGCTGGTAACATCTTTTTTTAATTGCAAACCCATTGGCTGTCTTTTTTTTTTGTTTGTTTCCAGAATGCTACGTGCAATATTTCTTGGTAATTTATGCCTGCCTCATAAGAAGTTGACCTGATTATCTTCAGATAAGTACTGCATTACTAATATCACCTTAATAGATGCTACGGAAGTGCAAAATTATCTTTTCAGCTGTGTGAAATCTAAACGACCTTATAAAAAAAATAACAATTTCCACTTCTGCATTAGATTTTGCACATGCTGCAAACAAGAAATTTTATTAACAGTTTCTAAGTCATTAGTAATATTTATTCATAACAGATTAAGGCTATCCTGCATAGCCCTAACATCCTGGATCAGAACCTTCAGATTCTGCTCTAACAAAGACATCCCAGAACAACCCTGAACCACAGACAACCCACACACAGAGCAAAGGTGTTACAGTCCTGCAATAAATTTCTGTCCTGTAACAGAAACAGTCCAGTAATAATTTTCTAAAGACATCACTCTTGCCGTGAGAGAACTGTGTATCTATAATCAATCCACATTCTCATAACTAAATTTTAAAAAAGAGTGATAATTTGTGGACACAATAAAACCTTAGACAATTACAAGGCAAATGACACTCCTAAAAACCCCTGCCCAACCAGCAACTTACAGACACATCTAATAATCATCACAGGACAAGACAATAATTAAAAGTTATATTTTAAGGATATCTGCTCTTTTTGGTTCCTGAGTATTTAGCAGAGTGATGTTCTATAAAACCATGAGTAACATGTTCATCTGAAGCCATAAGCATTATTCAAATATTTGATTTGAAATCTTCTGACATACTTTTTACAATGAACACTGAATAATATAGATCTTTTTTCATTCCGCATTACAAGGTACGCAGTAGCAATAACCCCGACACATCACTATGCTTTTCACAACCAGAAGAATTATGTATTAAAAAATCAAATGTGCAGAAAACTTACTTTATCATAACTTAATTTGCTGTCTAAAAACTCATGTTGCTTTAATCAAGATAATAACAGTTTCCTTTAATTAGGGTGTATCATGATCCTACTGTAAACAGAAACATACTTGGTACAGTACAGAGGCATCCACAGCCTACATGTAATGGCACTGATTTTTTAAACCTGCCTAACATCTTGGTAGGTTCTGTGACCTTAGCGTTTTTGACATTTGGATATTAATGGAATAAACCAGAAAAAATTAAACAAACTAAATAGCTGTCTTACAGTTCAGTACAATAAAAATCTCTGTAAGAACAGGGGAGAAAGCAGGGGAAAAGCAGCATTTTGCATTATACCCCTTTGCCCTGATGATTCTACTGCTTCCTATTTTTTCACTCTCACCATCAGGTCATCCCAGTTAGCCACCATCAATTGATAAGGTTGTTAATGAACAAAGTATCCAGCCAGGGTTCTTAGAGAACCATTTCAGATGGTTCAGATCATAAACTATGCATAATAATAAACTACACAGGCCTGTCTGTCTGTTTTTTCAAAAATCCACTCTGCATATAACACCAAAACAGGCAGAAACCTTCACTGATTAAATACATGAATACTAGTGAAAGAGAAGAAAATTCTTTTGTTCAGAAACCTATCATAATGTTACTACTTGCATGACTGCAGCATTTTATGAACCATTCTCAAAAGCTGTCTTTGAAAATCAATTATATCTAGAGCAAAGCACACAACTAATTTCTGAGACAAGTGTACTTCAAGTATTTATAGAAAAACAGTGGTCAAAAATTCTTTTACCTATTAAAGTAAGAGTCTTTCAGTTAATGTTTCCTTCTAATGGAAGCCTTGCAGGAATATGCAAATCTCTGAGCATGCTTTTGTTCTTTCCAAAACCAGGTATCTTCTAACACAGATAGTGCCTTGAAGCTCAAGGACTCACCCAATTCTTCCCCTAGTTAACCTAACTGTAAATGTGCTCTGAAATGAGTCAAAGTGCCCAGCATATGACTAATTTAAACAAACAAAAACCCAAACCCTGTCAAGATGGTGCTGAAGTAGCTCCTGAGGTCCAAACTTCTGTACCTTGATCAATCTTGTGTGGCTAATGGGTGTTGCTTTGGCTTGACAAGGCCATTTGTCTCCCTGAGTCTTTTTCTGCCTTATGAGCAAGGCCTCCCATAAGCCATCTAATGGCATTTATTATATAAACTACTCTGCTTTAAAAACAAACAAAACTCTGAATGGAATAAAACAGATTTTCCCAACTGTAATTATTCCTACAACAGAGCCTTCTCAGGGATTCAGGTAAAAGTCATTATGAGTTTCTCACCCTGTTGATTGTGTGAGGAAGGAGAGTGATGAAGAAAGAAGGGAAGTAAAAGGTGAAAAGAAAACGTGAATACCCAATTTATTGCAACTGAGGCAAAAAATTGGGTAACTTTTGTTATTCAGTGCATCTTAATACCTCCAAAAGCATGGAAGAAGCATATTGATTACTCTAAAATTTGTAACCTAAATGTTCCTCCAGACAAGCATCAACTTATGTCAACCTGAAGATCTGACATGAGTGAAGAAAGAATATACAGTGAGAGGAATGCAAATAGTTGCACAAAAATGCATTCCTTTCTCAGCAAATATGGAAAGACCAGAGCTAACACTGCCAGACTACCCAGCTTTAAGCTAAGCAAAAAAAACCCCTACTTCCACACATCCAAAAAACCTATTATGCAATATAAAACTACCATAGACATTAAGAAAGTGAAAACAAATGGTAAATAAGCTTGCATAAATCACCCATCACAGATTTCACTTGGGTTACATCATTAAAGTGCCACATGAATTTGACATAGTTGTATTCTTCCCCTACTCAGGAACTCTGGAAAAATTACTATTCTGTTCCTCCATAATAATACTTCATCCCTTTACCAGAAGACTCCAAATGTCTTTTTTTTCCTTTTTCAATTTATCTTTTGTTCCCTACCTCCTGAAGTGCCTCCCTGTCCAGACCCACTGATTTCCACATAGTCACTGGGAATCTTACAGAAAGATGACTTGGAACTTGTTACCTCCTAGCTTCTAGTAACCTACTGCATCCTTGCATCCCTGCTGCTATTACTGATGACTGCACCTAAATGTTTCTGTGTAGATTTAAACACCTTAATATTACACGTTAAATTTTGATTGTACTGGGTCTGGCTGAACTGGAATTGGTTTTCCTCTATAGCAGCCCTCACGGTGCTCTGGTTTATGCTGGGAGCTGGCAGGTGTTGATAGCACCCTGGTGTTGTGGCTACTGCTGAGCAGTGCTTACACAGCACCAAGGCTCTTTCTGATATTTCCCCCAGTGGGACGGGGTGGGCAAGATCATGGGAGGGGAC